AAACTTGATTGTCTGTTCTCATTTAATTCAGAACTCAAATAATATATGTTACATTTAAATACGAAAAATTACAAAACCTATTTAAACCATTAAATAAGCAAGTTGTATGTTAATTTATTAACTAAAAATAATGTTTTATTAAGTTACTCTTTAATTGTATGATAACAAATATTCTCAATCAATTTWAAAAATTTGTTGTATTTTGCAAAAAATATTCATAAAAAAATCTTGAACTCATCCTAACTTATGTCATCAATTATAAACGTGTATTACGATTAACGAAATCATAATTATTGGCATCATTAAATAACATTTTTATTTTAGGATTACAATATACACCAAGTATATATGTATATGGTTTGGGACATGGCGTGTAGAAAAATGTAATTACTTGACAATTTAAATTGTCTATACCTTGTACATAAAAATAATATATACATTATACAATATACATTTATTACGATCTAAATGATTCGTGTTATCAGACCAGTTATAACATAGTTGTTTATTTGCTTAAGTTTYACAATATATACTAGTGAAATAAAAAATGACCGAATAAAATGTTTAACACTTATTTGCGTGAAACACATTTCTTTATTTCTCTGGTGTTATTTTCGTTGTATAAAGAAATACCAATAATGCTAAAAACTCGAAATCATATTATATTTCTTTATTTCGTTTTGGATATTTCGCACAGTTTCTATATAAAATTATATGCCAACAATAACGAGTAGAAACATTTTAAAAATATTTCGTATTATTACTGGTATTGAAAATTAATTTTCGAAAACCATGAGATAGGTAACCAATTTGTTTACGTTCTTCTCACACGATAGATCCTTAGAGACACACAAATAATAACAGGCTATTCCGGTTATGTGAAATATCCGTGTTGCTGATCACGTATCCCATCACAATGTTTACATCCATTGAATGTTGGTTTTTCGATGTAACCTTTATTTGCTTACGCAAATGCTAAAAATAACAGAAATATATTTCATATATTCCATTAAATGAAAAATTTGAACTGTCTATATTATTTTTAACCATTTTATTGTGATTGTATTTATTAAAATTATTATTGTTGTTAAATAAAATGTATCAGAAAATAATATGGGAGTCAAATAGATGATCGACTGAATAAATTAACAAAAATTTAAATCACAAATTKAATTATTAATATAACTAATATAATATTATATAATTTGGTGTATTTTATGAATATAAAAATATTAAATAACAAAAGCTTAATAGTAAAATTGTATGATGATAAATATGGGATGCAACAAGTGATTATTTTGGGACTAACTTAATTGTTTTGTTTATAGTATAGGTATTTAGTAGATACTCTAGAATTTCCTCTACGTTTTTTCATGCATCATTGTGGTATGATCATCATTTTTGAAATTGTCACCATCATATAACTATTGTGTAAGACGTAATAAGAAAATTATTTAAAAC